TCAATTCTCTTTGATTTGTTGAGGTTTGTTTTATATCCTGTCATGTGGTATATCTTTTTAAATGTTCCAAGAATGTTTGAAAAGAATGTGTATTTTGCTTCTTTGGGGTGAATGTTATGTATGTATCAATTAAATCAATTTGATCTAGAGTGTCTTTCGATGCCATAATATTCTTACTGAGTTTTTGTTTGGAGGATCTATCCATTGTTGACAGTGGGGATTTAAAATCCCCTGTGATGACTGTGTTGCTGTTGACATATTTCTTGAAGGCTTCCAAGATTTTCCTGATGTATTTAGGTACTCCTATCTTGGGTGCAGATGTGTTTACAAGGGTTATATTCTCTCTTTGGGATACTCCCTTACATATTATCTAGTGACCTTCTTTGTCCTCTTCTTTTTTTTTTTTTTTTTTGTCAGGGAAGCTCCTTATTTCATCTTCCCTTTTAACTGAGAGCCTTGCTGGATAGAGTAGTCTTGGTTGCTGGCCTTTGCTTTTCATTACTTGTAATATTTTGTACCATTCCTTTCTGGCTTGTAGTATTTCTGTTGAGAAATTAGCTAATAGCCTTATTGGAACCCCTAGTATATTACTAGCATTTCTCCCTTGCTGCATTTAAGATTCTCTCTTTGTCATTAAATTTTGCCAATTTAATTATGGTGTGTCCTGGAGTGGGCCTTTGTGGATTCATCTTCACTGGGACTTTTTGTAATTCCTAGATTTGTGTGACTTTTTCCCTTACCATGTTAGGGAATTTTTCTGTCATTACTTTTTCAAACAGGTTTTCTATCCATTGTTCCTTTTCTTCTCCTTCTGGTGTCCCTATAATATGAATATCATGTTTCATGTTCTGCAAAACCCTTAAACCATCTTTGTTTTTTCTGAGTCTTTTTTTGTTTCATTACTCTGTGTGGGAATTTTTTTCTACCTTGTCCTCCAACTTGCTGATTCGATCCTCTACTTCATCTAGCCTACTTTTAATTTCTGCTAGTGTATTATTTATTTCAGATATTGTATTCCTCATTTCCTCATGATTTTTATTCATGGTTTCTATGTCATTTTTCATGTTGATATAGTTCCCAATAAGTTACTTGTAGTTTCCAAAGAGTTTTTTGTAGTTCTCACTAAGCTCCTGAACATTCTTATAACCATTTTGAACATTGTATATGATAGATTGCTTGCCTCCATTTCATTTAGAACTCTTTCTAAGAATTCCACCGTTCCTTTCATTTGGGGGTTGTTTCTTTGTCCCCTCACTTTAGGTGACTATTCTTGTTTGTTTCTGCATATTAGACTGATCTACTTTTTACTCCCTGTCTTTGTGTGGTTGCCTTCAGTGGTAGGAGACCTGTGGGACTCAGTGGTGCAGTCTCCTTGATTTCCTGAGCTGGATGTTCTTGGGATGCCATTTATACTATTCATGTGGGCTCTCTTATTGTAATTAGATTTTGGTTATAATTGGGTCATTCTTTGGTGGGTCCTTCCTTTGGCTGTCTGGCTAAGAGTTATACCACCCACCATATTGTATGCTATTGTGCAGGTGTTACCAGAACAAAACAAAACAACTGAGGAAACAAAACTTATACCTATAAAAATATCCCCTACCCACAACCACACTATCAACAACAAATAAGCAAATATTAATAAAGGTAGAAAGAGATTAATGCTATATTAACAAAGAAAAAATGAATATTAGATGACTAACAGAAAAAAGTGAGTTTGAGAGGGTAGAGAAATAGAAGTAGGAAATAGTAACAAGGTGAAGAATGAAAGAAAATAAAATTTACATTGTAAATTTAATAAGGATGGAAGTGGGCAAAATTGAATAAGGAATGAGAGAAATAGATTATGAAGTTTAAAAAGATTTTTTAAATAGTGAAAAAATAGGAGCACAATTGAAGTAAAACCTCCACCACAGCAATATCAACAACAAATTGGCAAAGATTAATACAGGTAAAAAGGGAATAAGAAGGGGAAACAAAGAAAAAAAGTTATGAGATGTCTAAAGGAAAGAAAAATGATTTTGAGAGGATAGAGGGAGAAGAAATAATAAGACTGAGGGATGAAAACCAGGCTAACAGAAGAAAAAAGTAAAATTTAAAATTTAAAAATAGGGCAGGATCAAAAGTGGGAGATAGAAATGTTTGGGAAGAGGGGAAGTGGTGGGGGAAAGATGTAGACAACTGTTCTTGAACAAGAATAAAGAAGAGAGAGAGAGGAGGAAAAAAAAAAGAAAGAGCCCTTCCCTGCCCTTCAATTTGGATGTGGAAAGGGGGGTATTGAATTAAGGGAAAGATTCCATAAAAGAGGTAATTATTTTGTTGAATATTAAAGGACAAAAAAAGGGTTATTCCAGAGTGAGGGGAGGAGAGCCTGCCAATGACTATACAGCAAATGGCTTGGAGATACAAGACAGCCTGGAGCAGTTGGAAACCACAAATGCTTGAGGACCTCCAGACTGCACATGATGAAGCCTGTGAGTCATGTATGAGGGACTATCCAAAGGATAAAGCAGAGAAATGACAGCACCTGGACATTGTGTTAGACAGCTTAGGGCATGTAAAGAATCTTTCTGAATAGATAAAACTGGAGATAGACTGATTAACTAATGAGTTGGTCAAATATTCTAAATGAGAGTCAATGAAATATATAAGAATGGATATGGAAGAGTGACATTCAGGGTAAAAAGGAGTCTACCACAAGTGCAAGTTTTCTAATTTGGGCACCCAGGTGAATAGTAGAATTGCTGAGGAAGTAGGGTGGTCCATCAGGGAGTATATCTATGAGGACAATATTAAAGATATTAGAGTCTGGAAGTGTGTTGGGAACACTTACATGGGGATAACAGTTAGCATCTAAAACTGGAATACTAGAAAATAAGGCAATGAATTATACATTTGAGAATCATCAGTCTAGAGGTGTTAGTTGAACCATGAGAGAACGTGGAATTATCCACAGATAATGTGTACAATGAGATTGGGAAAAGTGTGAGGACAGGACCTAAGCTAAAAATATACATTAACAGAAGAGTAAGAGGATCCTGGGGAAATTCTGGTCAGAATATGTCAAATCAATAAATATCAAGAGAACTAGAGGAGAGTGTCACCAAAGGGAAGGTGAGTTTGAAGAACAAAATGATAACAAAATGCCCAATGACAAAAGTAGGCAACGTAAAGTCTTAAAACTAGTAAATTTGATGTTATGAAAATAATTAGTGTAGTTTAAATAGCAGTTTCAATGGAGTAATAGTCATAAAAATAAATTATAAATTGAGAAATAAATAGACAGTAAGTAAAAAGAGAACATATGCAGATTATTCTTTTTAATTTTTATTTTTATTTATTTTTTATTTTTTAACATTTATTTAATTATTGTTCAGGTACAGTTTTTTGTCTTATACTCCCATCCCAGCCCCCCCACAGTGTTCCCCACCTCCCTCCCATTCCCCCCCGCCCCCACCTTAGTTTTTGTCCATGTGTTCTTTATACTTGTTCCTGTGAATCCTTCCCCTTTCCCCCTGAAATTCTCTCCCCTCTCCCTTCTGGTCCCTGTCAGCCTGTTCTGTATTTCAGTGTCTTTGGTCATATTTTGCTTGTTTGTTTGTTTTGTTGTTTAGGTTTGTTTGTTGTTAAAGGTGAGATCATATGGTATTTGTCTTTCACCATCTGGCTTATTTCACTCAGCATAGTGCTTTCCAGCTCCCTTCACGCTGGGCTTTTGACCCAGCAATTCCACTGTTAGGAGTATCTCCTAAGAACCCTAAAACGCCAGTCAAAAAGAACCTATGCACACCAATGTTCATAGCAGCACAATTTACAATAGCCAAGAGTTGGAAGCAACCTAGGTACCCATCAGTAAGTGAATGGATCAAAAAACTATGGTACATTTACACAATGGAATTCTATGCAGCAAGAAATGGAATTCTATGCAGCACAATGGAATTTCTATGCAGAAAGAAAGAAGGAGCTACTACCCTTTGCAACAACATAGATTATTCTTTCTTTATTTTTTTAATTTAATTATTGTTCAAGTACAGTCTTCTGTCTTTCGCTCCCATCCCAGCCCACCCCACCCCATGATCCCCACCTCCCTCCCATTTCCACCCCTCTTAGTTGTTTTCCGTGTGTCCTTTGTACTAGTTCCTGTAAATGCTTCCCCTTTGCCCCCTGAAATTCCCTCCCCTCTCCCCTCTGGTCACTGTCACCCCGTTCTCTATTTTAGTGTCTGTATTTTTATTTTGCTTGCTTGTTTGTTTTGTTGTTTATCATACTGTTAAAGGTGAGATCATATGGTATTTGTCTTTCAGTGCCTGGCTTATTTTACTCAGCATAATGCTTTCCAGTTCCATCCATATTTCTGCAAAGGGTAGTAGTTCCTTCTTTCTTTCTGCTGCATAGAATTCCATTGTGTATATGCACCATAATTTTTTGATACATTCATTTACTGACGGACACCTAGGTTGCTTCCATCTCTTGGCTATTGTAAATTGTGCTGCTATTAACATTGGGGTGCATAGGTACTTTTTGATTGGTATTTTAGGGTTCTTAGGATATAATCCCTGCAGTGGAATTGCTGGATCAAAAGGCAGATCCATTTTTAGTTTCTTAGAAAATTCCATACTTTTTTCCATAGTGGTTGTACCAGTCTACAATCATACCAACAATGAACTAGGAACCCCTTTTACCTACTACCTCTCCAATATTTGTTGTTTGTTGCTTTGTTTATGATAGCCATTCTGACCGGTATAAAGTGGCATCTCATTGTGGTTTTAATTTGCATCTCTCTGATAGCTAGCAATATTGAGCATCTTTTTTCATGGAGAAGATATTTAAATCTAAAGCTCCAGGGGAGGTTAAGATCCATTCCAGTCTTGTAATGATCTTGTCACATTTTATTTTCTATAATGATGCTTATTATTATTAATAACTTAGATTTGAGGTAAATGACTGTAATACTGTCATACTGCAAAATTGTTTTTGTTCTGTTACTGTTGCTATTCAAGCTATGGGGCTGTCCTCAGAAAATGAATGCACATATTTAAGAGAGCAATGCCTGAGTGGTGAGGATGGATGTAAACAGATATGGAGAAGAATGGAAGATGCCTGCCATGTTTCAGGTAAAATGCATTGTTTAAAATACACTTAAATGATTTCTTTTTACTGAGATAAGAATAGCATTCAATATTATCTTTCACTTTCTGAAGATCTAAGTTCATCTTGCCCTAAATACGTTACTCAAATGTGATATTTGAATTATGCACCTGCAGTTTGCTTATTAGGGAATTCCAGTTACAAAATGGTATTCTTCAACTACTCAAGGGCCCTAATGCATTGACAATGTGGGCAGCTTTATGCAAGGTTTCAGTCTACCTTTTTGCTTATCTCATTATGTATAATGTTACAATTCTATATATGCTTCTCAGAAACATGACCACAATTTTTCAAATAAAATGTTGTTTTGCTTATATTTTAATATGTTAATGATAAAATAGGAAAAATAAACTTTGTGGTGATCAAAAGAATTATTTATTTGAATTTATGTCATATGTATTCTATATTCTCACAATATATACTTTACACAATTTTGCATTCCAACTGTGTCAAGAACAAGTTAAAGTATATTATTACTTTTAACTTGTTCTACATTTCAGACATTTGAGGGGAGGCCCAAAGGGTAGAGAATGTAAAGATTAGAGAGTCGCTGTTACTTATTTAAAAGAAAAAAATGCATTCTAAGTACATCTAGTAGCTGAATGAATATCAAATGAGAGCATTATAGGAAGATTCCCTTTACTAGAAGTAGATAAAATGATTGATTATATAATGGGACATTGTTCTAATAGTATTATGACAAAAAGCTTTTCAAAAAAAATCATATTCTAACATAATGATAATTTTTCATTGTGTATATCAAATATTATAATATACTATAACCTGATCAACTTTTTGGAATATTTAATAAAAGAAATCCAAAAGGGCAAATAAAAATATATTCTCTATGACTCACTTTATTTCTTCATTCATTTCATGAAGAGTACATTCTGTATAGTCAATAACTCTTGCCTATTGGCATATGCTTCTTCTATCTCCCAAAAGATGTCAGATGGAGAGTGCAGGGTTCAGAGGCAGCAACCTGACATTTACCATCCCCGCCAGCAGAGCTCCAGGAATTGCACAGGCTGCGGAAAGGAGAAAGATTTTATTCTCTTCCCTGCCCATGAAGGAAGTACATGAAGTGTTCATTTTCCAAAGAAAACTATAGCTCTCTAATCCAAACATTCTTAATAAAGATTACATTAAAAAAAATAAAGTGTGAAAAAACCAAAGTGATGTATTGAGCTCATTTTAGCTCAATGTCTTTGGAATTTTTATGCTTTGGAATTCTCCATGTACATGTATTAAAATTTGATTTTCTCCTGTTTTTTTGTTTAATTATTTTTGCAGTGTTTAGAATAGTAGATATTTATAATAATTGAGCTCTTCCTTAATAATCCTATCTTTTATCTTTTCAAAGTAAATTTACAGAGGTGAAAAAAGTTATAGCTCTCTAACCCAACCATTCTTATTATTGTTTAGGAAATGATTTGCAAAGTCATAATTTGCTGAAAGTGACACAGTATTTTTAAGTAAGAATAGGGGATAATGACAAAAAACAATCTGTTATTTGTTTGGATTATGCAACTCCTTGTTACATCTTACACATCAATTTAAAACATCACATTCATTGTTATTAATTAGCTCATATTTATTTATTTCAGTAGACAAGTAGCAGTGAATTGCAATATTTGCATAGTTATCCCATGCATGAAGCAGACATAGAAATGTTCTTAAATATACAAATGAAATGATCTCAAGTAGTTTTATTCAGAAAATTGCAAAAAAAATTGTTGGGTAGATAAATGCACCTTTTTAAATTAAAAAGAAAATGAATTATTGGTAATTATGAAAGACTCATATTTAATAATATTTATTGAGTGTTTTCTAAGTGTCAAGGCTACTTCAGTTCCCATGTTAATTTTAGAGCTACCTGTACCTCTCTTGTTATAATTAGTATGACGTGCAAAATAAAATAGCAGGTTAAGACAAAATAGCTAAAGAAGTAGCTAAAGTGACAACAGAACTAACTGAGATTACAGAGCAGTCTGGTCACCTCCTATAAGGGCAGCCTTGCTTATTAATGAAGAGCAAAAATTGGCATTATATGTGGGGACAAAGCTATTCTATTATTATTTTTCCTTTTTTCTGTTTTCTAAAGCTATTTTAATATATGGAAAATTTAAATATATTTTAGAAAGTAAATAGTAGAGGAAAAATACAGTAAAACATATTTTTGCTTAGAAGTTACTTAAATGAACATCCTGCAGCAAGCCCAGAAAATCTTACTATAATAATGAATTATTCAGGTTAATATGTTAAAAGTACTTTGGGTAAAAGTATATTCAAATTAATATCTAGAGTGCAATATGTTTGATTGTGAACTTCAGGTAACCCCTGTGAGATGAAGGATTCATCAAGCTGTAACCTGGGCATCCAATCCTTAGTGGAAAGCAATTTCCAATTTCAAGCTTGTCTCTGCACTGATGACCTCTATTGCACTGTTAACAAACTGCTTGGAAAAAAATGCATCAATGAATCAGGTAATACATTGGTAGAGAGCACATTTAAAGTCATAAAAAAGAAAATTTAATCACATCCATGTAATTTTATTAACTTTTTAATAATTTGAGCCGTGACTGATGTGGCTCAGCTAGTTGAACATCATTCTGCAAGGCAAAAGGTCACCAGTTCGATTCCCAGTCAGGGCACATGCCTGGGTTGCCGGGTTGGTCTCCAGTCAGGGTGCTTACAAGAGGCAACTGATCAATGTTTTTCTCGCACATTGATGTTTCTCTGTCCCTCTCTTTCTCCTTCCTTTTCCCTATCTCTAAAAATAACTAAAATATTTAAAAAATAATAATTCAATTAATTCTCTATATAATTTAAGATTCTTTAAGTTGTAGATCTCAGTATATGCATAACATATTTCTGTAATTTCTAATCACAACTTCAAGCTTTATTTAATTATAATTTATTAGAATTATAGATTCACTCATCCGAACCATATATCTGTGGGTCTCACTATGGCTTTTCACAAGACTAAATGATAGAAGACAAATAAGCTATTATTTCTGTTGTTAAGAAACTCAGAGTCTCCCAAGGAACACCAAAATATAACCACTTTTATAGGATTACAATTGCCTTTGACTAGGAGCATTTAATTTATTTGCCTTTTCAAGGTACCAGGCTAACACTGAAGCAGTGGTAATCAAACTAGGCTGCCTATGTCTGTGAGGGTACATACAGATTTACCAAGGGATAATGTGAAATCAAAGTCCTATAACAACCAGTTTCCAGATCCTCACTGTCCCTATGTACTGTGTCACTGAAAAGTGGTAGGTTTGGGAATGAATCTCTTATCATAGAGTTATCACCACTTCTTTCACAATCGACTTTCTGCCACCTTATAAGATGGATTCTCCCCTCATCTATCTTGAATGGTCCCACTGTCCAGCTCCTCCAATCACGCATGGTGATCTTATTAAACAATTTTTTCTTCCGTAATTTTTCCCTTTTCAGAATTTCATATGAAGGGAATTATACAACATGTAGCCTTTTGAGCCTGATTCCTTTTGTTTAACATAACACAGTTGAGATTCATCATTTCATATTAAGTTTGTTTCCTTTTTTGAGGAGTAGTATTCCAGTGTATGGCAGACCACAGCTTGGTTAACCACTGAAAGTCACTTGCATTGTTTCCAGGTTTTTAGAGATTATAAATAAAGCTGCTATATATATTCACAGGCAAGATTTGTACAAGTGTAAGTTTTTAGTTCTCATGGGTGAGAAATTGTTGAGTCATAGATAAAGTTTATGATTAACTTTATAAAAAATCTTCCATGGAATATTTCATATTTGAGATAACCACCAATATATAAAACTTCTAGTCACTCCACATTCTCGGAGCACTTAATTTTTTTCACTCTATTACATATTTAGTGGTCCCGCACTATGGTTTTCATTTGCACTTAAATAATGTCATTGAGCCTATTTTCATGTGGTTATGTGCCATGTCTATGTAATATCTCCAAAACGTCCCTTCAAAATGTTGCTCATTTAAAATTATTATTATGTAACAAGCACAGATATGCATATATATGTATGTATGTGTGTATACACACACACATATAGTCCCTAAACAGATATATTTGTAGAATTAAATTTTCATGAGAAAGTAGGGGAATTATGGAAAACTCTCTAACAAATGTTAAGAGGAAATAATATGTCTGTTTTTATGCCAGTACCACGCTGTTTTGATTACAGTGGCTTTGTAATACAGTTTGATATCATGTACTGTGATCCCTCCTATTTTGTTCTTCTTTCTCAAAATTGCAGCTGCTATTTGGGGTCACTTATGGTTCCATATAAATTTTTGAAGTGTTCTATGTCTGTGAAATATGCCATTGGTACTTTAATAGGTATTGCACCGAATCTGTAAATTGCTTTGGGTAGTATGGGCATTTTGATGATGTTCATTCTTCCAATCCATGAACAAGGTATATGTTTCCATTTGTGTGTGTCTTCCTTCATTTTTTTCTTCAGTGTTGTGTAGTTTTCTGCATACAGATCTTTTACCTCCTTGGTTAGGTTTATTCCCAGATATTTTATTTTTCTTTTTGCTATATTGAATGGGATTTTTTCTTTGATTTCTGCTTCTGCTGATTCATTGTTGGTAAACAAAAATGCCTTTGATTTCTGGATATTGACTTTGTAACCCACTGTTTTGCCAAACAATAGCCAAGAGTTAGAAGCAACCTAGGTGCCCGTCAGTAAATGAATGTATCAAAAAATTATGGTACATATACACAATGGAATTCTATGCAGCAGAGAGAAAGAAGGATCTACTACCCTTTGCAACAACATGGATGGAACTGGAAAGCATTATGCTGAGTGAAATAAGCCAGGCGGTGAAAGACAAATACCATATGATCTCACCTTTAACAGGAAGCTAAACAACAAAACAAACAAGCAAGCAGAATAAAAACAAAGACACTGAAATAGAGAATGAGGGGACGGCTACCAGAGGGGAGAGGGGAGAGAATTTAAGGGGAAAAAGGGGAGGGATTTAGAGGAACAAGTATAAAGGACACAGGGACAATAACTAAGGGGGGTGGAAATGGGAGGGAGGTGGGGATCATGGGGCGGGGTGGGCTGGGATGGGAGAAATAGACAGAAAACTGTACTTGAAAAATAATTAAATAAAAAAAACAAGAAGAGGAAATAAAAAAGTTGAGAAACATGTTAGTATAGGTACATTTCTAGGAGAAAAAAATATAAAAAGTTAAATAAGAGGAATAATGAATTATCTTGTATGTATTTTAAATTACATATTATTTTTACCAACCATCATCAAAATATAATGAAAGGACAAATATATTTAAAATTATGATTATACAGTTGCACAAACTATTAAAAATGTTTTATATATCAATTTTTAACCATTAAACATTAGCTGACATACCACTCTGAAAATAATTTAATGGTATTTGAAATATTATAGATATTGACAATATATATAATGTCATATATATAGGAATGACATATATATAAGAATATTAGATGTACCTATATTCTTTTCAGAAAACTTATTAAAAGGTCATAAGTAAATGAATTAATTTTTTCATTTATTTTACTTTATTAATAGAAGTATCAGCACCGTCCTCAGATTTGGCTTCAGAATCAAATATCACACAAAGGCTCCATCAGAATGACACATCACAAATGGTGGAAAAAACGAGTGACTGTGTTGTAGCAGCACGAATCTGCCAGGAGTCTGAACATTGCACTCTGTTGTATGAGAATGTTAAGAAAACCTGTGGGAGGGAATCAGAACAATGCAAGACCCTTGATGGAAGCCACCTGTGTGCAGCATTAACAGAAGGTCTGCAGGAAACGATCTTGTGGAATTGTCAATGCAATGACACTTCAAAAGCAGAGTGCATTGAAATTTGGAGGAGTTTGTTTGAAGACAGTTGCATCCAGGATGCTCAGGTGAATCAAGTTCCAGCCTTCAGTGAAGACTATGAAGATGGATTCAACCAGCAGAACATTGTTTCTGGTGGGTATTCAAAAGAATTTAGCATCATTGATGATGATCACAAATACAAGTTAACTAAAGAATAATTAATTTCTTTTTCCAGTTCTGTCATTTCTGTCTGTGTTTCTCCTAGGAAATTTAAATGTAAAAACTTAATTCTATAACGGTGTCCAAAACTGATTGTAAAGTGTCACAAGCATCTGTTCATCATATAGCCTTTCTTTTTTTTTTTTGTTTTTTTTTTGTGTTTTTTTTTGTTTATTTTTTTTTAATTTTATTTAGTTATTTTTCAAGTACAGTTTTTTGTCTATTTTTCCCATCCCAGCCTCCCCCGCCCTTGCTCCCCACCTCCCTCCCATTTCCACCCCCCCTTAGTTCTCGTCCCTGTGTCCTTCCTATTTGTTCCTCCAAATCCCTCCCCCCTTTTCCCCTTAACTTCCCTTCCTTCTCCCCTCTGGTCACTGTCCCCTTGTTCTCTATTTCAATGTCTATGTTTTTTGGGTTTTTTTTTTTTCTGCTTGCTTGTTTGTTTTGTTGTTTAGCTTCCTGTTAAAGGTGAGATCATATGGTATTTGTCTTTCAGCACCTGGCCTATTTCACTCAGCATAATGCTTTCCAGTTCCATCCATGTTGTTGCAAAGGGTAGTAGCTTCTCTTCTTTCTTCTCTGCAGCATAGAATTCCATTGTGTATATGTACCACAATTTTTGGATCCATTCATTTACTGATGGGCACCTAGGTTGCTTCCAACTCTTGGCTATTGTAAATTGTGCTGCTATGAACATTGTGGTACATAGGTTCTTTGATATTGATGTTTTAGGATTCTTAGGATATAATCCCAGCAGTGGAATTGCTGGGTCAAAAGGCAGGTCGATTTTTATTTTTCTGAGAAAAATCCATACTGTTTTCCATAATGGTTGTACCAGTCTGCACTCCCACCAACAGTGAACTAAGGACCCCTTTTCCCCACAACCTCTCCAACATTTGTTGTTTGTTGCTTTGTTTATGATAGCCATCCTGACTGGTGTAAAGTGGTATCTCATTGTGGTTTTGATTTGCATCTCTCTGATAGCTAATGATATTGAGCATCTCTTCATGTGTCTCTGAATGTTCTGTATGTCCTCCTTGGAGAATTGTTTGTTCAAGTCCTTTTCCCATTTTCTAATTGGGTTGGGTGTCTTCTTAGAGTGGAGTCGTGTAAGTTCTTTGTATATTTTAGAGATTAAACCTTTGTCTGAGGTATCATTGGCAAATATGTTTTCCCATACAGTTGGTTGTCTTGCTAATTTAATACTGTTTTCTTTAGCCATGCAGAAGCTTTTTATTTTGATGAGATCCCATTTGTTTATTCTTTCCTTTACATTCCTTGCTCTAGGGGACATATCAGTAAAGAAGTTGCTGCGTGAAATATCTGAGATTTTCTTGCCAATGTTCTCCTCTAGGACTTTAATGGTATTATGACTTACATTTAAGTCTTTTATCCACCTTGAATTTATTTTGGTGT